TTTCATGGTCTGCATTCTTAATCCATTATTATTATTATTCACTGATGTCATTAACCTAGTTGTCAAAAGTTTAAAATACAGCAACAAAATTATTTGTCTTTTGTGACCAAGCCAGTCAAAATGATAACAGCGTTTGCAAAGAAACGTGTTAAAGGTTACTCTGTCCGCTTGATGTGTTTACTGTCAATAGAACCTTTTTTTGTAACCCCTTTTAGTGTTTGTGGATTAGTGGATTGTGGATTTCTGTCTTACCCAGGTGGTTTAGTTCAGCATCACGAAATATGTATCAAATACTTTTTACTTTCTTCCTTGATTTTTCTTTCCTTTTTAAGAAACTGCTACTTATATACACAATGGTGGATTGTTGAAAAAAAGCGTTTTATTTATTTAGTCTCTTTTATCTGTGAACATGCCTTTCCATAGAAAGCCCACTATCATGACTTTTCTGGGTGTCTTGTCATCATTTGATCTAGCAATCTGACATCTTACTGGATGATAAAAAGCATACTTGTTGTTTCTGGCTGGAGCTTTTGTGATCTGAAGCATTTTCAGACAACATAAAAGGAAAGCTGCGATGCAGGTTATGTCTGTTTAACAGTGCTGAGTTCTTTTACTTGGCAGGTAAGCTGTAGGCAAGGTGTGATCAAAAATCTCTGAGGACAGATCCATAAAAGTCAAAGGTCTTTGATTACATTTTTGGCCAGCTCTTATTCAAGGTCAACATCTCCAGTCGCTTCCAGTCAGGAAGTTTGACATTGTAAAACATCCATCGCATTGTGCACCTTGAAGTCATTCCAGACAGCGTGAGACAGCGTGGAGCTCTATGGAGCATTAAGTTCAAAGGATACAAAAGGTGGCGTATACTAGCTGCTATCATGCCTGCTCTGAAGCAAATACAAATCTTTTGCCACATCAACTCAATAATCGTTCACCGCCTGGACACATCCAAAGCCAGTGTCATGCCTCTGTAGTAGGTCATATATTGTGCCTGTGACAGTAGTTAAAGGTTTACGTACATATAATTTTTCATGTAGGTCAGCCAGTTTACACTGGTAAACTTCTCAGGGTATTTTCTTTTTTCCCCTCCACTGCTACCTGTCAGAGCATGCTTGCTCCCTATTTGCTCATGGCTAAAATATGACTCAGCCTTCCCTTCTGCTGCACTCACTTGGCCTCTTAGTCTTTATGAATAGCATTATTCAACCAGTTAAACTAACCCACAATAACAAAGTGATATTCTTCATTTTGGTTTGGTGAAGTGTGAAGATAATCTAAAGTTTTGCTAGCTTGGCTCATGAAACTCTTGTTGCGTCTGTGTACATGTGCTTGGCTCAGACTGCAGGCTATAGGCTGATGTTCATTTTGAAAGACAGTTTCTGTTGACTGGGCAAATTGTTTTCAAACATTTCCTTCTTTCTTCCCTATTAGGAAAGATCCATCATATTAAAAAAGTCTCCTTTTTGAACCATGCTGGTGATGGCAGGGGTCACAATGGTGAGTTATGCATTACAAGACGTAGCGTGATTGCTACATTAAGATGAGGTCAGAGGAGCTTTAATTGAGTTTTTAGTCCGTGTGGAGTGACACTTCCCTTGTTGAAGAACCTGCATAGTCTGTGGCTTTTAAGGCGGTGCTGTTCTTTTCATTTTGTCGTTTGTTATCTTTTGCAGGCTTAGACAATATTCAACTGCTTGATGCACAGTTCAGTTTTCAGGATACGTTTGATTAGGACTGTATTTGGTTAATGGGTGCAGCGGGTTTGTGATTAGGGAGTGTTTGGAGCATGTGACAAAATGGTGCAGTGATGGGTTGTGCTTCTATAATAAAAGATCCTTGTGAAATTTCTCTCTAAACACTCCACAGGGTGTGTATCCAGACAGGATGGATGAACTTATTCATGGAATTTCTTAAGTAGTCGTTAGCCAACTATAGTGAAACAAACTCCTTAATGGTGCGCAGTGCAGCCTGCATTTAGTGGGAATATGGTGTCATATCGACGAATGCTGTGAATCATTGTTCATACTCATTCTCCAGCCAGCTGTTCCATAGTGAATAAACTTGAAGACATTTGGTTCTATGAGTAATAAACCGACCTTTTAAAACCTGAGTTAAGAGGTGTTTTTATTCAGATTTTCCTCATGTTCTGCTCATCATTCCACAGGGGCTTTTGCTTCTGACCTAAGAAATACTCTTTTTTTTTTTCTTCAATTAGACTGTCTTAATTTGCTAGGTGAATCAAAAGAATGAGTTTGCTCATTTTCAGCTTGAGCAGAATCAATAGATTGTCTCATAGAATTTGACCGTTTATGGTTTATAACACATTATATATGAAGGTTAGATCCACTGTCATTCAGCTAAACTGCAATATACTACTAAAGGGAAAAAAAATCCAGCCTATTTAGTTTTGTGTAAAACCTTTGTCTAAATGTGTGGTGTTTAATACAGAAGTGCAATGAAATAGCTGGGTCTGAGTCAACGGAGCATGCGGAAGTAAGTAGATGTGCAGGTTGCAGAATTGTGCTGCATACTCAGAATGCTGTGATGGATCTAAATGATGTGTCCTCTGCAGCCCAGGCATCGCTGGGGAGGTCAGGGATTGAATTACAGCTCCTATCGATTATTGTTCCCACCACTGCCCTTCAGAGAGGCCAGCACAGGAAATGCATCCTCCACCCCATGGGCTCCTGGGAGGAGCAGCTGCTCTATACTGTCTGCAGCCAGGATGGCTAGCTGTCAGTCACTGCTCCTACTTTGTGAATGAAGCTAAAGTAACCTGCCTTGATTGTGCATTTAGTTGAGATTATTTGATCAGTGAGGTCTTTATTCCAGGAAGTGAGTTATAATGGTGTTTATTTGAAGTTCTCGGCTTACGTCAGCTCGGTCGGACAGTAGCTTTTAGCTCTAGTGTTCCCAGAGAGACGGTGTGGTCAGTCCTGCATTCCTTAAACAATAAAGCTGGTTTACAGAAAACAATGTTTGCAGAGAGCTCTGATTGTTTTATGTTGACTCGTTTGTCGATTACAATAATATTAACCCAGATGTTGTTTTTAAACAGGATTTGACCATGAGTTCTTCTGTTGTCCTCCCACTACATGAACTTAGAGCCAAGGCATGTAAAGGGAGGACATTTAGTAAGTTATATTTGAAAACAGTCAAACTTGACTGATCCCTAAAACTATTCAGCTATCCACCCTCTGTGCGGTTACTTACTGCATTTGTGTCAGGTAGAAAAAGGGTGGACAAAAGATTAAAAAACAAAAACAACAAAAAAAACCTCCCACAGGTGGAGTCCTTCTGTGTTGCATGTTGCCCCTGTGCATGCTTGGGTTTGGGTTTTTATTGTGTTGTTTTGTTTCCCATTGAAAAATGCGGTCGGCTCATGTTTCCTGACATGACCCAGAACTCTCACAAAAGAAATTCTTAATCTCAAGAGTTTCATTTCCTCATTAAATTAACAAATTTAAGGCTACAAGTAATTTAGTGACATCTTAACAAAATAACCCCAAAACAACTTTTACTTCATTACTTAGAAACTGTCTGATATTTTGAAACATCCTGCTATGTTCCTAAATTATCTTTGAATTGTGCAACAGCAAGCTGTTCCCCTTCTCATTCAGACTTCTATATATGGCTTTACATCTCCAGTTGTGGCCATTAGTCACAGTAAAGCTGCTGCATGAGTGTATTCCTGGGGATTTTTAGGTTAGTAAATTAGACACATACGTAATACTTTGACATTTGGGGAAATGCAGTTGGTCAGATTTGAACAGACAGACGGGCAGTATCTTGCTTTTAATGTAGCTCTAGGAAAGATTAAACATGACTCATAGAAGTTCAGATTTAAGGCTTAAAATAAAACAGTGTGATTGCTGCAAAGTTGCAGCGGTACTGTAAACAATCTGTTTGTGTATTACAAGGCAGAGTTTCACAGTGGAAGCCTGCGTCGGGGTAGCACCAGCCAGGGCTTGACAAAGCATCTGCTTGTGTTGTTTGTTTGCAATGAGCTCTGCCTCACTTTGCATAACTTGTGTAGTGGAGGACATGTGACGGAGGGAGAGACTGAGGGCGAGCGAGAAATGAAGACTAAACTAAAAGAAGACAAAGAACATTTGTCTTTTGCAGCTTTCCCACTGCGTTTCCCCTCAGAATATTTTGGTAACAAACTTAATCCTGTGCTTGACTACAAATTGCTTGATGTCATGTGGATCAGCGTTAAAGTCTCTGCCAGGGCAGGACTAACTAGCGTCAATGCAAGATTAAAATATCAGCTGAATCGTGTGCGTGTGTCTTTCACATTCACACAAAAACAATGGGCTGTTTTCTTACTAATGGGGTGTGTTGTGTGTTTGTGTATCATTCTGTGTGTTACTATGCCTGGTAGCTTTCAGACAGGGCAGTGATGTAATGCCCATGATTCCTGTGGGTGTGAGCAGTTAGCTTAGCAAGAAGATTAGTTTTTGATCACTATAACGCCAAAGAAAACAGGTAGCAAGTCATCTATCCATGTCACTTGACTGTAGTGAGTTGCATTAACATATTCCTATTACGTCATATATATTCCTGTTTTAAAAAGTGAAATATACATTTAATACATTTAATTTAGGAACATATTTTTATTATTTTGGTTGACTAGTTAAGGTGTGTTCAATCTATCCTTCCTCTTTCCTTTCCCTCATCCACCTCCCATTCTTTCCTTTCCCTCCTACTGCAGTTTGGAATGACGCATCAGTATTGCTGCGGAGCTTACAGGAAGTATTGCTTTGATAGGCTAGCGGAGAGGCAGCACAGTAGCAGCTCTGACATGCGTATGCATTACTGAACCACGGCCAGGGAACACTCGCAGCATTTTGATGACATCACCCACCCCCACGCACTGCTCCCTCCCTCCCTGTTTGCTGTTGAAACAAGCTCTCTCCATCTCTCTCACTCTGAGAGAAAAGAGCAGGCATCGGTAAAAGAACAAGAGCTCACTCAGAAGAGGAGGGGCTGGCCATGAGCGAACAGGGAGGGAGAGAGCTTTTGGGGCAGGAGGAGGAGGGTGGCTGACGGTGCTAGCGGGCTAGGACTGGCACACACACATGCACGCACACACACACATACACACAGGAAGAGAAGGGGAGAAGGAATATTACCGCACATTGTTAAGACTTCTATCGCGCACTGTTCTGCTGCTGTTTTCCCTCATTTCAGGAACAAAAGTTCTCATGCAGTTTTGTCCTTCGGTTTTCTGGATTTTTCTCTGCTGAAATGGGGATGAGGGACTCTGTGGACTGGCAAGTGGGCAGCAGGCTCTGGGGTGGAATACTTCTCTAACTAGCCAGGCTGTGCGCTCTCTCTCTTCTTTCTGATCACTTTTACTCTTCAGCTAACTGGGTGGCAAAAGCGAAAAAGTGGTAGGGCTTCTTGGGTTTTCCGTCAGCATCTGCTCGCACTGTTCTTCAGGATGCTGCCTTTAACTAGCACCTGTGGAGGCTAGTACTCAGCTCCTACTGGTGGAGTCTGCAAGTTTGATAAGTGCAAGGTGTTTATTTTTGAGAAGAGTGGAATGTTTGGCTTTTGGGGAATAAAGGTGAAAGGAAACCTGTAAAATTTGTGCCTTCTGGGGAAGCTTAACTTTTGGGAGCTACCATGCTGAGCCTGCAGGATTCTGTCTTCTTTGAGATCAGCATCAAATCTCTCCTCAAGTCTTGGAGTAGCAGCTGTGAGTATCTTTCCAAGCTTGCACAAATGTTTACATACCGCACTTACTGCCACCAGACTTATCTGCCACACGCAGCCAGCAGAGCCTGTGCAGCATTGTACATGTCGTTGTGCGTTCCATGCGTGGATTTCTTATATCTCCTTCCCGTATAAGAAAAGTGGCCATTAGTGGAGTTGTCAAGATGACAGATTATGTTTAGTGCAGGTTTAGTCGGCCTTGTTTGATGTGTATGCAGGTGGGTGCAATTAAAGTCTTCATTCAGCAGAGTGCCCTTCTTCCTGCACTCATCATCATTCTGCTGGCTCCTGGATGTCCCAAAGATAATGTTTCTATTGATGAGCATCTACTGATACATAACACAGATGGACATGAAGTATTCCCTCTGTTCTTTTGAAGATCTTGTCTAACTTTCTTTTACTTTTTCTGTATTTAGCAACTTGCTATCTGGATTTACTGATTATACATTATACATTTTGGATAGATATATTATCAATGTTAATATTGTTATTTCGGCTGGCTGTTGTTAACAGTTTGCGTAACAGTGAATATAGACATAGATGTCTTTTCATTTTTCCCCACATCTGTGCGAAGGGAACAAAGAAACCTTGTTTTGCAAGTTTATGAAATTGAACTCAAAACACAAGGATTCAAGGACTTCTAAATTTATGAGACACAACAGCAAATTATCAGCAGCTGACATCAGTGCATGCCACCGGAGTCATCAAAGCAAATTCGCCAATACTAAAATGCGGCTGACGCACCCCTGATTTTAATATCCAAATTACTATGTTAAGCACTTCCTTAGGACTGCTCCCCTATCTACTCTGTTCCCCGTCCTCCTAGTTTCGCTATCCTCTTCTTCCTTTCCTCTGGGCCAGCTAATGTTTCTCTACTATTGATCTGTCTTCTGGTTGCCTCCTATTATTAGCTTCCCATGCAGCCCATAATACATCAGGAATCAAAAAGATATTGTCTCTCCAGTCTCATTGAAATGGTAGGGATAGACAAAGAAGTCAAGTAGTAAACTGCACTCTCCACAAACCTCTTTTAGTTACATTAGTAACACATATAACTGTTGTGTAGTTTAATTGTGTTTATGCAGTTTGACAGTTCACCTTGAATGCACAAAAGACAACACATAGGCTGCAACAGAATTATTCGTCAACGCAAAAGTGTTTGCTGCTTTAGCTCAGCGATACAACCTCTGAGCCACTGTTCCTTTTGTCTGAAAGAGGAATAGTTAGACCCTCTTTAAAGGCTTATCTGCTGGGCTCTATTCACCTGACTTATTCTGTTTTGGTTAAAATTTAAATTTAGATTTGTATCATTCAGGTTTGGACTTAAATTATTGATTTGCACATTATTTATCAATTTTTCAGTAACAGATGCTAAATGGCATTGCCTCTGTTTATATTATCAAATGAAGAATAGACTGAGACTGATTATAGGGCCGTACACTTTTTTTAAAAAATTGTATATGCTAATATATTACCTGTGTTTCTCTCTGCCACTCACACCCATAGTGGAATTTGTCAGTTTTGATGGCTATAACATTTGTCAATTTTCATGCCGTGTATGCCGTGCATTTTGATATTGTTTCTAGATACGTGCAATGTGGTTACAAAATACTGACTTATTAATTATGTATTTTGATCAGCATGCCAGTTAAATTCATTTTAATTAGTTTTAACAATTTTCGATGCATTAGAATATCACAGTTTTTGATTTTTTAAAAAAAATTGTTTTCTTGTTATTAGGAGCCATTTCTGCAGGTCAGGATTCCGTGTATTACGGCAAAGGCATGGTGGCCAAAAAACAAAGAGTGCCAACAAAGAGAAATTTGTGTATTAAGCTTCAGTGAACATGAACAGATGTGCTACACCCCACTTCAATGACTGTATATTTGAGGATTTAGCCAGCCATTTAGATCACTATGTGCCAAAAGATATACAATCTAGTGCTTCTAACATAATTGATGTGTTTTATTTTGCACAATTTGAGCTAGCTAAGTGAATGTCGAGGTTGGACATACACTTCATTTCTGTTTGCCATAACCACAACACAAGTTTCTAGGTATTTAATAACCACAGTCATTTTAGTCTACTAGGTAAAAGTTTGCTATTTAAATGTCTAGAATGCAAACTTGTATCAGCAACATCCAAAATGTGTTGAAATTAACTCCCTTTAAAATTATGTATAAAGTTATTTCTAGCTTTTTAGGCGGATGAGAGCTTGTTGAACTTCTATCTTTTGAAATTGTCACAAATGCACTGCAGGAAAAAAGCATTACATCTGTAAAAAGTAGAATGCACAAAGTCTAACTGTTTTCATTGGCTTTGAAAAGAAACATGTCCCCCTTTCACATAGCAGAGTGTTATTTCAAGAGCCTTTCTTTTGTCAACCTTGCATGTTTTCTCTGAGTCTGCATCAGAAGTGCTACAGGTGCTCTTATTCTGTCAGACAGTCTGAAGATTTGCAGGTTAACCAAATAAATGTTCCATGGACCTGAATATTTTTATACTGGTGACCTGCTCAGTGTTTACCCTGTTCCTCACCCAGTATGTGATGGGAGAGGCGTGAACCCCCTAACCCTGAAACGGATATGTGAGTTATAAAATCGAGGAGAGTGTGGTTGCTGTGATCACAAGACAAATTTTTCATGAAACACATAGCAGTTATTGTTTGACCTTGGTAACTGTTTCCCCCCCCTTGAAATATGTAAGAATGGTAAACATCCAGCCAGAAACATTTGCAGGAAGTCGCAATCCTCTCCCTGAAGGTAGCAAATACTTGAAGATAGGGCTGG